AACAGTCTTGTTAATAATAATCAATTAATTCACTTCATTTAAATAGTTTGAATTAAACAAAATAGTAATCATTATATATATCTAATTTCAAATGAAAAATAAACAATATAGTTTGTGGGTTTTAAACTTTGACCAAAAACACTTTTTTATATTGATAGTTTTGGTCCCTAGATTATTTCAGTTTCAAACTTTGATAACAAGACATTTGTATATTGTTATGTTTGATTCTTATATTTTCGTGTATTGTGATGTTTCGCGACTTTTTGAGTTTCATGTTTTGGCTACATGAGTTTTGTATATTTGCAAGTTTGCTATGTATACTTAGTTATGCAAGTTCGGTCCCAAATAAAAAAAAGGTTTAGATAGAAAAATAATTTTAGGTTCTATTTGTTAATTTGATGAATAATAATTAAGTTAGAATATAATTACATTATATTATTCGAATAGTATTTTTTTGAAATAAATCAATTTAGAAAATATGTTGGCAGACACTACATTCTTCTTAACTCCAAATGGCCAAAAGTTGCATATGACATTTAACTTTTTACATGCTTATCGCATCTCACTTTAATGGAATCCTCGATGAATTGAAAAAACATGTTTTATTTGTTTTTTTATTAGTCACCCTATTTTAACTTTAAATAATAAAAGTAATTAATAATTCCAAATTCTATATAAATAAATCTATTGAAAAATATATTTTACGAAAGAATATAATCATATAATCAATATTCTAAATAAAAATAAATATCCTTTTCAAGTTAAACCTAAGTAGACAATAAATACATCACAAATTTATGAAATACAAAGTCAAAACCTTACATCACATATCTCGTAATATTTATGAGATAATGTTTGAATACACATGCATTACACAAAGTTACACACCAGCTTTCTAACAAAAATCCTCCCTAATAAATAATTTTTTTTTGTGACATGTCATACTTTCATTAATTTGACCATATGTCATTTTGTGGTTATTTTTAATTATTTTTTTTTCGCATGATATTTTGTGATTTTTTTTTTCATTTTATTAAGTTTCATATAATATTTAAATATAAAAATTGCATAAATATAATAATAAATGCATATCAATTTCATTAATCGACTTCCTTCTAATTTCAAAATTTCTAAATTAAAGTTTTATTAGTTTCATTTATTTATTTATCTAACTTATTTGTTTAATTTAAAAGAAAAACAAAACAATTTAATTTTAATAATTTAATATTTTTTTATTTTTTTTATAAATTCAAACTTCTCAAATGTTTAGAATTTCATATTTTTTTTAAATGATCTCATGTAATACATAGGTCTTACACCTAGTAACATAATAAATGTCGGATCTTTCATGATATTAAAATTGAGTTTTGAGAATATAAAAAAAAATGGTATGTTTGTTATGTAAGGTTGGAGGGTGTGGTGAAACTTGTAAGAAATATAAGTATTTATGGTGGAGATCTGGATACTAACTTAGATCGAGAGAGCACTTTCCGAACTGATATTTCTACCATATGCATGGGTTGCAAGAAATTCAGCCTAGGATAATCTAAGTGAACACTTACGATTCTAGGCACATAAATCGTAAGCCACTTTTCTAGAGAGATTCTGTGAGAGTTTGATGAAAATGAGAGCTAAAATTCGTAACCCTCTTCTGAGACTGAAGAGTCGTTTATATATTAAACGAGATTATGGTTTTATTAGGGTTGTGCCGTCATTAGTTGCTTTGGATGCAAGTCAGGATAATCCAGATTTAGGGTTACCAAAACTAATGAGTTTTGTTAGTTTTACCATAATCACCCTTAAGAAATTGAATTTTCCACTATGTTCCCATATGTAAATTTCGGTAAGGTTTTGGGGCTTTGCCCCTTGGACCCCGCTAGGGGCGCTACCCCTAAACCATGCCAAAGGGGCGCTGCCCCTTTGGAAACCCCGAACCCAGGACTGCTTCCCCCGAACCCAGGGCTGCTGCCCCCGGACCCCTGCATAGTCGTCGAACCGGCTTCTAATTCGATCTTATATTTGTGTGCACTTCGCACCAACCCGTACATATATTAGAGTACAAATTAAGAAGCCCATTAGCTCACATGTTAGTTTCAGTTACATAAAATGACATGGTGATACTAAAATCACCAACACAACTATCATCACATTCCATCTCATTTTGTCACAATCAATACCATACACTAGTCATAGTATAACAATTTTGGAATGAAGAGAGAGAAAAGAGAAAGAAAAAGAGATATAAAGAGAAGGAGGAAGAGTTTAAGAGAGAGATAGAGGGAAGCATGAGAATTATTTTTGTTATTTTTTCTTGTCATATGCTTCATACCATGGACTAGGTATGGTATTTTCCATGATAAAATATGCAATATAGGCTCTACATCATTGTTATAACACGGTGATATATATATATATATATATATATATATATATATATATATATATATATATATATATATATATATATATAGAGAGAGAGAGAGAGAGAGAGAGAGAGAGCTAGGTTATAATGTGGATGGACAACTATTGTGCGGACGTGTGGACAATACTATTATATGAGAATTACTAAAAGAATAAGTTATTTAGTAATGTGAATACGTTCAACCTCACATAACTATCGTCATTTTCATGCATTCTCACTAATTTTTATTCATTTTTGTTCTCGCAGATTGTTTTTCATTCATTCTCATTCTTATAGAAGACGACTCAATAAACATTCAGATAACATTCTGATAGAATGAGAATAATAATAAAAAGTGTATAATAACCTTATAGACGATTTAATTAGTGAGAATGTGTGATAATGACAATAGTTATTTATTATCTTAGTAATTCTCACCGAATAACATTGTTCACACGTCCGCACAATAGATGACAATCCACATTTGAACCTAGTTCTCTCTCTCTCTCTATATATATATATATATATATATATATATATATTAATGAACTTACTACATAATGATTGAATATATAGTTTGTTATATATAATTAGTTTTTTATTTAATGCTAACAAAATATATTAATAAATTAAGTTAGGAAATATATTTCATTAACATTGAGCCATTATTTTATATTATGAGAAAGGAAAAATATTTTTATGCTTCATATATTGAGTTACTCACTATTAAATATGTAATTTTAAGTGTTAGGCGATTATTAGCATCAAGTACATAACTCATAGGTAGTGAAAAAAATGAAAACTTGATATACCTACACGCACATTCAAACTATATTCTATGTTTTACTATTGTAGCAACATACTTTGAAAAACATCATAGAAAAGATTACTAACCTTAGATTCTCTTGTTTGTGATCTTGTGACTACCACTTTGTTACAAGGGGAAGGATCCAAAGAAGAAACCCTCTAATGGAATCAAACCCAAACACCAAATAGCAAAAGAGAGAACCCACAAATTTGGGTTTATTTGAAAATCACCAACCCTAGGAGAGAGGTTGTGATGGTCATATTTGGAGAGTAAGAGAGACAAAGTATGGACGATTTTGAGGAAGAGAATAACTAGCTCCAGGGTTTACCCTAACAATCTATTTATATGTAGTTGTTAGAATCCCAGATGGATATGAACTCTAGGGTTTATCTATATCTGATTCAAATCAACTATATCCCTACACAATAATAATAATAATAATAATAATAATAATAATAATAATAACAACAACAACAACAACAACAAAAACAACAACAATAACAACGACAATATGGTTTTATGCAGAAAAGTCATAACATTTTTGTTTGTAGAAAAGTCTCAATATTTTGTATAAGTTTACGAAATAGTCTTAAATTAATTTGTTATCAGTTCCAAACGGTCAAAAGGGGTCAAAATACAAACTTTTGTTGGTTTTTAGGATTTTTTTTCGTTGACAAAAATTAATTTATGACTAAAATGTTAACTGGACCAAAATTTTAAAACTTTATTGGAGATTTTCCTATTAAATTCTCTTAAATTGTCTAATTAAGGATTATTTAGAGATTTGAAAATTTTAATCACCTAGCAAATTTATTATTATATTACATATCAATCCAACTTAGTATATTCTAGATGGTGAAAACAGATTACTAAATATAGAAACACATGATACTTTTGATGATATACTCTATATTTAGAATAGAAGTTACAAATTATTTATTATAAAAATCGTGTCAAATATATCTACCATTATTTTTAATTAGGAATGTATCCCCACGCTATGCAGGAGTTGGGAAGTTTCATAAGAGGTGATTTGTGGCATGTTGAAATATAAATTAAATAGTTTAAGCAGTTATATAAAATATAAAATATTATATTTTCTATTTAGCTAAAAGAAATAAAAATAGAAAAAAGATTGTCACATGAGCGGTTCTGGTTGTAGCCATATCAATATTATAAAAATAATTTTGTAAACAAACACTCCAAAGTACAATTTGTTGTTAAAAAAACCTTTTAAAGATAACATAACAAATCTCCTAAATTTATAAAAAACTAGATGAAAAAAATTGTAAATAAAAGTACCATACATGTACAAAAAACTTTCAGATATGACATCAACGGATCATCCTGATCTAATATAAACAAGTTATTTTAATTGATTGCCTAAAACCAAGAATGAAACACATAAAATTTAAATATATTCAAAACATAAAACTTCAAATATCATATCTATTGTTTTTAATTTCTTACCTCTAAGGTTTCCGAATTTTTTAGGGTCTAATTTGCTGCTGGGAAGGAACTCCTGCATGTAATGAAATTGTATGTGGTCAATTAAAAAAACAGCAATGTACTTTTATTTATTTGAGTATTATAGCATCATACTTTCACTTATTCATGTCAAAGGGTATAGAAGCCAAAACAATTTTTTTAAGTGGATGAAGAAAAAGGAAACTAACCCTATAAAATTTCATCCTTATATATATATATATATATATATATATATATATATATATATATATATATATATATATATATATATATATATATATATATATATATATATATATAATCTCACCTATATTTATTTTCCCAAAAAAACTCAAATAATGATGACCTTTTCAACAGTAGTTTTCCGATCTTTGTCATCACTGTTGTCACCGATGATGGTGATGGTGGTGGTGCCGATAAGACGTGGGTATTGGGTGAACATAAATTAGAGATTCCATTATTTGAGGATTCAACATATGAATCATGGGAACGCATCCATAATCCTTCCAAAACGACACCAAATTGATTTGCAGATGAGGTGTTAGTAGATGGTGGAAGAATTTGTATATGAAGTTTGTATTTCTACAATTCACATAAAGAAAATAAAAAAAAGTTTAATATCTTTGAAAAGATTAGAGCTTTACATGCGAATTTTAAAAAATCAAAACTTACATGCAAATGGCTTTTGACTTCATCATTTGTAATCCCATTGACTTGTATACGCTCTTTAATCTGCTTAGTAGTTGTAGGTGCAAAAGATTCAAAACAAAGTTGAATTTTTTTAAATTTAAATTAAAAATTAAGGAAAAAAGATGAATAGTTTTCAAGGACTAACCTTTTGTGTAATCTAGTTGATGTAACACATTGATAAATCGCCTATGCAACTCTTTTGACCAACATCTTGTTTGTTTTGTACATATGTGTTGAGCATTTGGTGAAGAACATGGAAGCAATATGGAATTGGAAATGGAAATGGTTTTTTTAAGTAAAAGGTTTCCCCTCAATGGATTCTTGATTACAGGGGTGATAAGAGAAAGCCCTGGAATCGATGATTCTTTCATATCTTCCCCCAACATTGTAACCCCATAAATTCCCTTATATGGGATAAACTGTAACACCTCAAATTTCAAAGAAAAATTTTTGTTTTTAATTTAACCAACATTATTCATAAATCCAAGTCATCACAAAATTTTAAATCATTATCAAAACAATATCAGAGTATCCCAAAATCCACATAAGATCCTAAGCCAACGAATGTTTACGATCATGCCTTCACCTTCATTGAATCTACGAAAGTACCTAAAACGCATTTAAATCAACATTGTAAACACAAAGTTTAGTGAGTTCCCCTAAATGCCACATACACAAATAATTAGCCTCTCATGGATAAATCTCGATAAGGACCCTCCGATCATGTGTCTCAGTGAAGACCCTCCAGTCTCACGTCTCCGTATGGACCCTCCAGTCGTAACTCAACATATACACAGAAAAATATAACAACATAAGTCACAAACACAAAATGCATAATAACACATATCTTAATATAAGCAAGTAAGACCCTCTGGTCAATAATACGAATAAGACCCTCCGGCTAGTAAAGCGAATAAGACCTTCCGATCAATAACACGAATAAGACCCTACGGTCACACATAAATTACTACACAGGTAAGTATAGTGAGAATACTCACCTCGAATGTTGAAGCTCACTGAGATAAATCCCTAACTGTTGTCCTGACGGCTTCTCGAGCTAACCACACAAAATAACACCTAATTAACAATTAGGCTCCCTTATAAGGACCACAATCCAAACTTGGGGTAAAATGACCATTTTACCCCAAACGAAGAGATCCACAATGTCCCACTAATGTCCTAATTTTCCAAATTGGTCCCAACCCCATATGGACCATATCCTAAAGCCCAATAATTCCTTAGTCCCAAAAATTTGATCTGAGATATCCCAAAAGGCCCAGAGCCACAAGATGGCCCAAAGATATGAAGCCCAAACTGTTGGGTTATAAGCAAAACAACAATCCTATGGTGCACATGCAAATAATCATCCAAAGCTTACAAACCCTAATTCTAGCATACGAAAATCGAAATAAACATAAATAAACAAGTAAGAATGTTACCTTTCAATTGAAGCTTGAAGATCCTTGACTTTGAGATCTTAGTATTACAAATGTAATACCTCTAATCGATCACAAACACCAAAAACAATTGGAGAATGTTAGAGAGAGAGAGAGAGAGAGAGAGCGAGGAGGAGAGGGAGGATGAGGAGGAGGAGGAGGGATGATTTTGGATCTAGGGATCCTTTTAGGGTTTCTGATAGCTGAAAGTATGATGCAAAGGGGTTCTTTATATAGGTTAGGGATTAGGGTTTCAGTCAAATACCTAATTTGGTTGCTTAAGCCCTCAGCAACCCATAGGAACATTCCAGAACCCTAGCCTTGGACGAAATCCTTATGTGCTTCCATAATATTTCGTCCACCTCTTACCCAAGAGGTCCTCAGCCCATTATGCAACTATCTTATAATTACAATATCAGTCCCCTTAATTCAATTAACCTCTTTTGACCACAAAATCAGTTCTTGACCAATATTAATCAAAAAATATGATTTCCCTTTTAATATATTATTTACATAATATATTAATAAATCACATTCATCCTCTTTCTCCATTATTCTTCTAGTCAAGTTGCTTTGGTGAAGGCAACCCAAAAGGACCATGCTACAATCAGGTCAAGTACATACCAAATATAGTTATGGGCTTAGACACCTAATCCAACAGTCTCCCACTTGGTTAAGTCTAATAACTACACATGCAAGTACGACTTCAAAATCAGATTAGCAATCGTATCTCTCAAAAGACGATGTCGAACTCTGACACTTCCTTCGGATAAGGGATCGTATAGTCCTCCGTTGTCAAGATATCATGTGGACAATTACATGGAACATAGGCATACTTATTGTCCGGTAGTTTGTTTCTCAATCTCTGATTTGTCTTACATAGAACTCAATGAACACATCAATTTAGTCCGGACCGGGTCCCGAACGTAAGTCAAAACAAAATCATCGAGGGGCCCAAGATATCGCTTTTAACCTCGTAGGATAAAAGGAACAGATAAACTTCAACTTATATGCTTGTACTATTTATCATCAAATCGTACACAACAATGCGTTTTATAATATCAAGTTACTAATGCGTGTACGCATTATCAATGCATAACCAACTCGCAAATAACAACTCATATATCTAGGTTTCAAGACTATATGATATTATTGTTAGATTTGGTGTCTAAGCCCATAACTATAACTAGGATTTACTTGACCCATTAGTAGCATGGTCCTTTTGGGTTGCCTTCACCAGTGCAATTTGATAGGATGGATTTTTTGAGAATAAGGTTATTTGTGATTTATTAATAAATTACAAGTCTAATATATTAATATTATTTAATTAGTATTGATCAATAATTAATTTGGAATTAATTTTGTGATCAAAAGAGACTAATTAAATATATGGGGAGTGATTATGTAAACCAATGGTTCTTGTAATGTGGGCCAGTGATCCATGATTATGAGCTAAACTAATCCATGGATAGTACATGGAGGTTAAACCCATGGAGCATGAGACTGTGGAAAGTTATGGGTTATTAGGGTTTACAAAGTGTAACCCTAGCATTTGCCACATTATAAATAGTGACCCCTAAGCCAAAATCAGCAACACCTTCTTTGGAGTCAAGTAACTTATTCACTTAAAGCCTCCTCTTGCATATTGGTGTTTGTGAACCATTAGAGGCATCACACTTGTGGTGCTCAAGCTTTCAAAGGTCAAGAACTCTACCCTAATCAAGAGGTAAGCATCCAAACCAAAGTTTTATGTTATATAGCTTCAATTGTAAGCTAGATAGGGAGAATTCTTTGGAAAAACAAAATGCATGTATAATTAGAGAAAACATAGATCCAAAGCATTTAGGGTTGCATGTGCACCATAGGAGTGTTATAGTGCTCAAAACCCAACAGTGGTATCAGAGCCTAGGATTGTTTTCTATTATATTTGATGCTTACTAGTTTTTAAAAGTTGAAAAAGTCAGAATTTTGCCTTTGGCTGGTGAACTCGCCGAGTACATAAACAGACTTGACGAGTCCACTCAGTAAATAGGGCAATTCGGCGATTCAGTTCATGCACTCGACGAGTTGTAGGCATGTTTGCATAATTTTGAGTTTCTTAGCTTGGTTTAGATTACGGACACTACCAAAAACATTTTTGGATCATTAGAAATGTTTTTTATGATATGTTAGTGCTTGTACTCATCCAACCACAAGATAATTGTCAAAAGTTTTAAAATAATTGTTGTTTTATATGATAAACCAAATTGTTTTTAAAATTGTTGATTTAGAATTGTCTTGTTTATGAGTTTAGTTAGATCATGAATTATATGATAATTTAGTTGTTAGAAAAAATGATCTAATTGATGTTTAATGATCTCTATAACTTGTCGTCAAGTTATGGAAAATAAAAGGTCTCATCATTAAAATCAAATTAAACTTATAGGTTATGAATGTGAAGAGTTTTGACAAGTTTCAAAACTTTCCATCAAGTTTTGGAATTTGCAAAGTCTCATTAAATGAAACTTTAATTCCTATCCCTAGAGTTTTAAAAGTTAAAATTTAACCCTTATACTTTATAGTATTACAAGTTTAATATATATATATATATATATATATATATATATATATATATATATATATATATATATATGTATGTATAAGAGCAAGTCAGTCTTACTATTAGTATGTCTCATTCACGAAGCCGGTCTATAAGGGGGGTATAAGGTTACTGACTATAAAATGGTGGTTTAATGGGTGTCCACTCTCAATCACCGCTTCCTTAACTGGTGGAGGGTCGTTAGTCGAAAGGGTAGGATAGGACACTAATTCTCCCTCATTAAAAGTATAATGGTAAATATAAAGTAACTTAATTTTTTATTAAATTCCCAATCTTAGTTACTTTAGGAAAAATGTGAAAATGGTGCTAATCCATGAAATTACACTTTGTACCTTGTTAAGTCGTTAGCGGAGTGCGTATGGTTAACCGGCACACTAATTTGGGACTGACAATGTGTGGCAAAAGGTAGCTTGGTGTTAATCATAGATCAATGGAGCGCGTGTGGTTAACCGAAACATTGATTAGGTGATTTGTAACATTTGGTGTACCAAGTTAATTTGCATGGTTATTCACACCTTGTTTGTGATCCTCAGCATCCCAATTACAAACTTGAATGGCACAATCGAGATTTAAACATGCCATTGAAAGGTTCAATGAATCTCAAAGATCTAGGAGTTTCAAACCAATTAAAACTTAATAAACTATTTCGTTGTTTATGGTGGAAATTGGTAAATTTTCATTTACCTACCTTCAAATATTTTACAATTGGATTAAAACATCCCTCTTCACAATTGTAGAATATTGTGTTGGGTCCTAGCCTTAATTTTTCATGTTGGGTGTAATATTAAGGATTCTCATCTAATCTAAACTTTGTTCTTATTCTTTTTCAGATGTCTATTCCAAACAATGCTTCCACACCAATTCCTTCAGGCTCTTTCTCCCTCACGAACATATGTGGAAGGATCATTTTTGATGGCTCGAATTTCAATGATTGGATTTGTAACATCATAATGGCTATTCGCTATGAGGACAAAGAATATGTCCTTGATAAAGAGCTAAAGGAGATTGATGTGACTACTGCTACTTGTGAGCAAATCGTTGAACACACTACTCATGAGAGGGATGCGGCAAAGGTATCATGTCTTATGATTGCAACCATGACTGTAGAGCTACAAAAGTCCTATGAGGACTACTATCCCTATAAAATGTATCATGATTTGATGGAAATATACCATCAAAGTGCTTAGTAGGAGAGGTATAAGATCATTGCCTCCATGATTTCAATAAAAATGAAGGATGGTGAACCCATCATAGTCCACTTGTAGAAACTGCAAAGATATGTTGACCGCTTGCTAAAATTGAATGTCAATTTTGATGAAGAGTTGGCCATAGATATTATTCTACACTATTT